GGCCCAAAGCCCATCAACTGGGGAAAAGACAGTCTCTTTAACAACTGGTGCTGGCATAACTGGATATCCATCTGCAAAAAACTGAAACAAGACCCATACTTCACACCATGCACAAAAACTAACTCAAACTGCATCAAAGACTTAAATACAAAATTGAAAATGATAAAGATCATGGAATAAACAATAGAGACAATGCTAGGAGCCCGAATACATGGCATAAACATGATACGAACCATAAGTAACAATGCACAAGCACCAGAAGACAGACTAGATAAATGGGAGCTCCTAAAAATCAAACACTTATGTTCATTAAAAGACTTCACCAAAAGAGTAGAAAGACAATTGACAGACTGGGAAGAAATTTTTGGCTACGACAAATCCAATCTGTGTCTAATCTCTAAAATCTACAAGATACTGCAAAACCTCAACCAAAAAAAAGACAAATAACCCAGTTAAAAAATGGGCAAAGGATATGAACAGGCACTTCTCCAAAGAAGATATCCAGGTGGCTGACACATGAAGAAATGCTCATGATCATTAGCCATTAGAGAAACGCTGATCAAAACTACCATGAGATATCATCTCACCCTAACAAGGCTAGCACTAATACAAAAAACACAAAATAATAAATGCTGGAGAGGTTGTGGAGAGACTGGAATGCTTATACACTGTTGGTGGGAATGTAAAATGGTACAACCGCTTTGGAAATCAATTTGGTGCTTCCTTAAAAAGCTAGAAATGGAAGTACTGTGCGATCCAGCTATACCGCTCCTTGGAATATATCCTAGAGAAATAAGAGCCATCACATGAATAGATATATGCACACCCATGTTCACTGCAGCACTGTTTGCAATCACAGAAGGATGGAAACAGCCTAGATGCCCATCAACAGACGAATGGCTAAACAAATTATGGTATATCCACACAATGGAATACTACCCAACGATAAAGAACAACGATGAAGCTGTGAAACATCTTGTAACATGGAAGAAGCTGGAGGTCATTATGCTGAGTGAATTTAGTCAGTCACAGAAGGACAAATATTGTATAAGACCACTATTATAAGAACTCAAGAAAAGGTTTAATCACAGAAGAAAACATTCTTTGATGGTTACGAGGGTGAGGAGGGAGGGTGAGCGTTATTTACTAAGTAGATAGTAGATAAGAATTATCTTAGATGAAGGGAAGGACAGCACACACTACAGGGGAAGTCAGCACCACTGGACTATACCAAAGCTAAGAAGTTTCCTGAATACAATCAAACACTTTGAGAGACAGAGTAACAGGGGTAGGGGTCTGGGGACCATGCTTTTAGGCAACATCTAGGTCAATTGGCATAAAAAAGCTTATTAAAAAAATGTTCTGCATCCTACTTGATGAGTGGTGTCTGGGGTCTTAAAAGCTTGCAAGCAGGCATCTAATATGCATCATTTGGTACCAACTACTTGGAGTCAAGGAGAATGAAGCCCACCAAGGACACAAGGAAAGTAGTAGCCCAAGAGACAGAAAGGGCCACATAAACCAGAGATTTCGTCAGCCTGAGACCAGAAGAACTAGATGGTGCCTGACTACCACCAATGACCGCCCTGACAGGGAACACAACAGGGTCCCAGATGGAGCAGGAGAAAGGTGGGGTGCAGAACTCAAATTCTAGTAAGAAGACCAGACTTAATGGTCTGACTGAGACTGGAGGAACACTGGAAAGCATGGCCCCTGGATTCTCCATCAGCCCAGAAAGAAAACAATTTCCGAGGCCAACTCTTCAGACAGGGATTGGACTGGACTGTGGGACATAAAGTGATACTTGTGAGGAGTGTGCCTCTTAGCTCAAGTAGATACAAGAGATTAAATGGGCAGCTTCTGTCTGGATGTGAGCTAGGAAGGTAGAGAGGGTTAGGAGTTGGTTGAATGGACATGGGGAATCAGGGGTGGAAAGGAGGAGTGTGCTGTCACAGTATGGGGAGAGCAATTAGGGTCACATAACAACGTATGTATAAATTTTTGTATAGGAGACTAACGAAATGTAAACGTCATTTAAAATACAATAATAAAAAAAATTAAAAAAAAAACAAAAGACGCATTGTATTGAGCAAATCTGCTGCAAAAGACCTCTTTAAAGTGTTGAAAATCAAAGATGTCACCTTGAAGACTAAGGTGCGCCTGACCCAAGCCATGGTATTTTCAATTGCATCACGTGCATGCGAAAGCTAGACAAGGAATAAGGAAGACCGAAGAAAAATTGACGCCTTTGAATTGTGGTGTTGGTGAAGAATATTGAATATACCATGAACTGTCAAAAGAACGAACAAATCTGTCTTGGAAGAAGTACAACCAGAGTGCTCCTTAGAAGTGAAGATGGTGAGACTTTGTCTCACGTACTTTGGACATGTTAGCAGGAGGGATCAGTCCCTGAAGAAGGACATCATGCTTGGTAAAGTAGAGGGTCAGTGAAAAAGAGGAAGACCCTCAATGAGATGGATTGACATAGTGGCTGCAACAATGGGCTTGAGCATAACAATGATTGTGGGCATGGTGCAGGACTGGACAGCGTTTCGTTCTGTTGGACATAGGGTCATTAACCGACTCCACAGTACCTAACAACAACAACAACAATTTTAGGACATCAGCGATAAAGAGAAGATCCTAGAATTTCGCAGAGAAGAAAAAATAGGCAACATCCACAGACAAAGGAATCAGAATGGCATCAAACTTCCAGAAGAAAGTGAAGCAAAGTCTTCAAAATTCTGAGGAAAACATTATTTTCAATCTAGAATTCTATACTCAGCAAAATTATCAGATGTAAGAGCAGAATAAAGTCATTTTTAGGCAGGCAAATCTAATAATTTATACTCCTGCATCTTTCCTTAGGAAGCTGTCATAGGATATGCTGAGAGAGTAAATCCAAGAAAGAGGGGGACACAATGTGCTGGACTGTGTGACTGTCACTGGGTGGAGCTGGAACTATGTTTCCCAGAATGCCTCTCTCTGATGGGTTTGGCTCCAAGTCTCCAAATACGAACTTGTATGAGATTTTGGACGCAGAAGCGAGCAGCAGCCATAATCTCTTAAGGTCTTTTTGAGGTCAGATGTGGAGATGGATAGACGCCAAGGCGCACAGAGGCTTCCAGCTTGTCTCTGCTCCCCCAACCCTGTGTCCAGCTCTTCTCCCCAACTACTGGCCTTGCAGCCATGTGCCTGACTGGGCATCCAGTGAGGCGACAGCTCCCCCTAGACCTCTCCATGAACGTCCACTTCACCGTCCCACATCAGCAACTGGATGTGTCTGATCTCAGATGCCCCAGCAAGCTCTCGCTTGTCCACCCACCTACCAGGTCTGCAGCAGGGCTGGTTGGGGACTTTTTCTCTATCCTCTATCACCTTCTTCCAGACCTTCACTTCCCCAGCTGCTCCCACAAGTGTGTAAATTCTAATTCCTATAATGAACCCCTTGTCCCATAAAGCCCATAGTGGCTCTGCTTCCCTGACTAAACCTTGCTGATATGTGTGGGATTCAGGAGGTAGGGAGTCATTAAAGGAGGGAGGGGAAGAAAATTCCCAGGATGATGGTGAAGGGATGCTCCGGAATTATGACCAGACAGGAGGCAAACAGAGCAATTAATCCAGACTGGTGAGTGAGTAGTAAGGGTTAACTAGGCAGGCGGGGTTGCTGGAGCCCTGCAAATTCCAAGGAAAGGCCTCTCATCAGGAGGACTGGTCCTTGACCAGCTCCTGAGAGATAACCTCTGAGCCCTTAGAATATCCTGTCTTAGAAGAATTTTTTATTGTTTTTAGCTTTTAAAAAATTGAGATGAAAGTCACATGACAGAAAATGAATCGTTTTAAAGCAAACAATTTAATAGCTTTTAGTTCAATGCCAATTGAGCAACCATTCACAGTGTTGTGCAACCATCACCTCTTTTTAGTTTCAAAACATTTTTACCAGCCAAAAATAAAACCTTGTACTCATTGAGTAGTTTCTTCTTATTCTCCCCTTACAATTCTATGTGAATTTGAGGATCAACTTTTCCATTTCTGCAAAGAAGGTAATTGGAATTGTAATAGGGATTGTATTGAACCTGTAGATTGCTTTCAGTAATATTAAGCCTTCCAATCCATGAACACGAACGTCTTTCCATTTATTTAGGTCTTTAATTTCTGTTAGCAATGTTTCATAATTTTCAGTGTACACATCTTATACTGATGTACCTCCTCCTTGGTTAAATTTATCCTTAGCTACTTTATTCTTTTGGATGCTACTGTAAATGGAATTGTTTACTTAATTTCCTTTTCGGATTGTTCAATGTTGGTATCTAGAAACTCAATTTATTTTGGTGTATTGATCTTGTACCTTGAAATTTTGCTGAATTTATTTATCAGCTGTAAATAAATGTGTGTGTTCTTTGGGGTTTTCTATATAGGATCACGTCATTTGAGACTAGAGATAGTTATACTTCTTCCTTTCCAATTTGAATGTCTTTTATTTCTTTTTCTTGTCTAATTTCTCTGACTAGGCGTTATGGATTGAATAGTGTCCACCAAAAATATGTGTTATAAATGCTAACCTCTATGCCTGTGGTTATAATCCTATTTGGGAATGGGCTGTCTTTGTTATGTTAATGAGGCAGGATTAGCATAGGACTTACCTTGAGTCTATCTCTTTTGAGATATAAAAGCCTGTTTAAGCAAGCTAGGAAGCAGAGATGGGGGAAGACGCATGCCAAGCCACAGGAAGATCGCCTAGGAGCAGAAGCTCAGAAGAGACAAGGACCTTCCTCTAGAGTCGACAGAGACAGAAAGCCTTCCCCTAGGGCTGACACCCTGAACTCAGACTTCTAGCCTCCTAAACTGTGAGAAAATAAATTTCTGCTTGTTAAAGGCACCAACTTGTGGTATTTCTGTTACAGCAGCACTAGATAACTGAGACACCATGAGACACAGCAGATTAGGTGAGTTAGACCTTTACTGGGAACAGGCAACACAGCGCCCCTTCTCACCAGCCCTTAGGGATTAATGATCTCAATGTGGAACTGCAGGTGAGTAGTTGTGACCACACAGTGGCCCCGGAGAAGAGAGCAGGTCTGGCAGGTCTGGCATTTCCAGTGGCACTGGATGACGTAGATAGCATTGAGCACCTGGCAGTATCGCCAGTGGATGCGCCACATACGGACCAAAGATTGGAGCTTAACCACTGCCCACTCTTTCTTCGCATAAGCAATCAGCGCTGCCCGCCGCTTCCTCTCCAGCTGCCTCGCCAGCATCAGCCGCCACCAGCACTGAATGACCCAGGCCCTGAGGGCCGCGTGCAGCAGCGTTCGGCGCACCAGTGTGCCACGCCACCAGGCCTGGATCTTTCTAGCTGCCTTGTCTCTTTTTGTTGTATATTTCTAGGCAGAGATAAAAGAGGCCACTCAGGGAACTTCGTGCTACCAACTTCCAGGGTCTTCCTAGAAGAGGCTTGGGTTCTCTCAACAGTCAGTCTTTCCTCAGAGAGTTCAGGGGAGTTAGCAGGACACTGACTAGGAGCTAGGAGACGGGGATGGTGGTCTGCGTCTGCCACTATGGACACATCACCTTGCACTCAGAGTTACAGACCTCTTGGCTACCTCCCAGGTGGATGGATCAGGGCAAAAACAGTTAGTAACTAGAAGATACATTAGGAATGTGAAGGACTTTGTTAGTCACACTCCACCTCTTCAGTGTTGATTGGGTTTGGGAGATTTGACCTCATTATGGTTTTGCCTAGTTATTCTCTGCTAATTCCAGGCCCAAATCACCATTGGCTGACCTCTCTATCACAGCAATATACTTTGATACAATGATGGATTCTCAGCACTCTCACCCTATATTCTACTCCCAGCCTTCCCATATTTTGAACATTCTGAGTCCCAACATTCTCACCTTCCAGCCCCATACATTTCTTGATGGCTTTCATTCTCCCCAGTCACTCTCCATGTCATAGTCAAACTCAGACTCAGGGATGGGGATGGAGGGAAAATGAGCCGATACTGAGTTGAACCCTAGTTATTTTAGACTCTGGATCCATAAAAGACAATCTCACACGCTCAGAACACAGATATTAAAGTTCTGGATTTCTCTTAACTACATGGAGGTTCTACCTACCTTGACAAGCTTCTCCTGCTGCTTCCATTCAACAGTCTCTTCGATTTCCTCAATTATAATTGTAATGAAATTGCCATCCTTCTATAATCAGAAATAAATGGGAAATGCATGAGTGAGTTAAGACTGATTTTTCTCACTATGTCTTTGCACAAAGGTACCCACTGCCTTAGCATCTCCTCTTTTCCCAAGACCTATGAAGTCTAGGGTGATTCTCACCCACCCGTAGCCCTCCTAGTAGATGTGACCATGTCTCTTACACAAAATTGAACCCCCATGGCTTGTCTCTAGATGTTTCATTAGCCCTGATTTCTCTGCTTCCCAAGGCCTGGCATGAGTAAAATGAGTGAGAGGGAGAGCTATGAGCTCACAATTGCAACTATGATATAAGGATTAGGATATCTGCCACACAGTTGAGTCTCCATCAGAAACAAGCCTCATGGGAACTTATAATACCTGTCTACTTTCCTCTTGTCAGAGATGTACCAGAGTCCAGGGTGATAGGGGATTTGAGCTCCATTCCACACCAGGGTTCTCGTTCCATGAGGCCCATACACAATCCCTTCTCACTATCAGTCACGTAGAAGAACAGGAGGGACCATGGCAAGAAACCCCCACACAGCTCTGGAGTGTCTTCTCAGACTTAAACACCTCCTGTTTTCTCTTGACTCGGGTTTCAGTGCCTCAGTATGTCTTTTAAAAATTAGGAAAAGAGAGCCCAGTCAGCCAAATGAATCTAGAAAGCAGGAAAATAAAGATTAAAAACTGAAATTAATGAACTAGGAAATGAAAATTGGAAGTGGAAAGTAAGTTTACAAGGTAGTATTTTGAAAAGGCCAGCATTAAAGATAATACTCATAAATTTGATCAAGAAAGAAAGAGAACAAAAGTGGAATGAAAAAGGAAAGAACCACCAAAACCCCAAAACCCAAACCCATTGCCATCACATCAATTCTGACTCATGGCAACCCACGTGTTACAGAGTAGAACCGCTCCATAGGATTTTCTTGGCTGTAATCTTCCCAGCAGCAGATCACCAGGGCTTTTTTATGCAGCACCGCTGGGTGGGTTCGAATTGCCAACCTTTAGGTTGGTAGTCTAGCATCAATTGTGAGCCACCCAGGGACGCTTCCAGGTCAGATAATGTCAATTCTTTGGTAATCAAGCTTTGAAACAGTTCTGTCTTAGTCACCTAGTGCTGCTATAACAGAAATACCACAAGTAAATGGCTTTAACAAAGAGAAGTTTATTCTCTCACAGTCCAGTAGACTACAAGTCCAAATTCAGGGCATCAGCTCCAGGGGAATGCTTTCTTTGTTGACTCTGGAGGAAGGTCTGTGTCATCAATCTTCCCTTGGTCTTGGAGCTTCTCTGTGCAGGAACCTCAGGTCCAAAGGACACGCTTTGATCCAGGCACTGCTTTCTTGGTGGTATGAGGTTCCCATGTGTCTCTGCTCACGTCTCTCTTTTATATCTCAAAAGAGATTGCATTAAGACACTATCTAATCTTATAGACCTCATCAGTATAATTGCTGCTAATCCATCTTATTGCATCATAATGATAGCATTTACAACACATAAGGAAATCACATCAGATTATAAAATGGTCCACAATCATACAATACTGGGAAGCATGACCCAGCCAAATTGATACACACATTATTGGGGGGACATAATTTAATTCATGACAAGTTCCCTCCTTTTTCTTCTTCCAGTGAATGCCAAACTGGTCTGAGAATTCAGACTGTTAGTTTTCAAGGCTACCACTGAGCTGGAGAGTGGGAGATGGGACTAGAGCAAATTAAAATGCTACAAAGCTTACTGTTCTTAACCAAGAGTCACCTGTTTTTTTGAATAAATGCTTCCCTAGTTGCTGCAAGCCTTTGGTTAATTTCCAAAGTTCTGAAAATGTTGATTCTGACCATTTTTGCCAGTTTTGTTTTTTTTTTTTGTTGCTTTTATGGAGAGATGAATTTTTGGAGGTCCTTACTCCACCAATTTTGCTGACATCACCCTACTTGTAAAGGTCTTTAACAGGAAATTCTTTCACCTACAATGAGCCAGGCACTGTTCTAGGGGCTGTGGATCATTACCCTGACCTTATAAGTTTCAAAAATAATTTATTTGGAAACAGTTTCAAACTTACAGAAATATTGGAAAAATTCTTGTATACCCTTTACCTAGAGACCTTATTCAAATTTCATGAACTGTTTGGTGCTGGGCTACCATTGCTGAACATGTTGATCAAAGATTCCATACAAGAATCCTAATCAAAAGGGGGAAAATGCAGAACATAATTTAAAATTATCATGAAATCTAGACTTTCTTGAGCCATGGAGGACGGGTGAACCTCTGAAACTATTGCCCTGAGATAATTTTTGAACTTAAATGAAAAATATCTCCTAAAGTCTTCTTAAAACTAAACAACAGTTTAGCTTAACTAGTATAGAACGTCTACCTTGACGATTATGCTCTTTAAGATTTATTGATACGGGATTAAATTGACAACAGCAACTCTAAAGATTAGATAGGAACCGTAGGAGGCTGTGACTTTATGTTAATGGAGGATGAGCAATTCAGAAAAGGAGAGTGAGAATGGTTGCACGACTCCAAGAATGTAATCAATGTCACTGAATTGTACATGTAGAAACTGTTAAATTGGTATATGTTCTGCTGTGTATATTCTCAACAATAACAAAAATAAAATAAATTATTTCAAAAAATTTTATCAACAGTCCAAGTAACAGGAGCCCTGGTGACAAAGTGGTTAAGAGCTACAACTGCTAACCAAAAGGTCAGCAGTTCGAATCCACCAGGAGATCCTTGAAAATCTTATGGGGCAGTTCTACTCTGTCCTATAGGGTTGCTATGAGTTGGAATTGACTTGACAGCAATAGGTTTGGGTTTTTTTGGTCTGAGTAACAGCCTTTATTTTAAAGAACTCAATCCAAGATCACATGCTACGCGCAGTTGTCATGTCTCTTTAGAGTCTTTAACCTTGAAAAATGTCTATGTTTTCATTTTCATGATCTTGACATTTTGAAGTTTATAGGCCAGTCATATTATATAATTTCTCTCAGTCTGGGTTTTTCTGATTTTTTTTCTCACAATTAGTTCCTGCTTATGTGTTTTTGGCTGGAATAATTCAGATGCTGTGTTCTTTGCATTGCAAACTATTTGGTCACACATCCATCTCATTGAGGGTCTTCCTCTTTTTTGCTGATGTCCTTCTCCAGGGATGGGTCCGTCCTGATAACATGTTCAAAATACATGAGACAAAGTTTCACCATCCTTGGTTGTACTTCTTCCTAGATAGATTTGTTTCTTCTTCTGGCAGTCCGTGGTATAGTCAATATTCTTCGCCAACACCATAATTCAAAGGTATCAATTCTTCTTCAGTCTTAACTCATTCATTGTCCAACTTTCACATGCATATGAGGTGATTGAAAACACCATGGCTTGGGTCAGGTGTACCTTAGTCTTCAAAGTGATATCTTTGCTTTTCAACATTTTAAAGAGTTTTTTTTAGCAGATTTGCACAATGCAACACATCATTTGATTTCCTGACCACTGCTCCCATGGGCGTTGATTGCGTATCCAAGTAAAATGAAATCCTTGACAATTTCAAACTTTTCTCCGTTTATCATGATGTTGCTTATTGGTCCAGTTGTGAAGATTTTTGTTTTCTTTATGTTGAGGTGTAATCCATAATGAAGGCTGTAGTCTTTGATCTTCATCAGTAAGTCCTTCAAGTCCTCTTTGCTTTCAGTAAGCAAGGTTGTGTCATCTGCTGAATGCAGGTTGTTAACGAGTTCTCCTCCAATCCTGATGTCACATTCTTCTTCATATAGTACAGCTTCTCAGATTATTTGCTCAGCATGCAGATCGAATAACTATAGTGGAAGGCTACAACTGTGACACACGCTTTTCTTGACTTTAAACCACACATTATCCCCTTGTTCTGTTCGAATGACCACCTCTTGCTCTATGTACAGGTTTGTGATGAGCACAATAAAGTGTTCTGGAATTCCCATTCTTTGCAACGTTATCCATAATTTGTCATGATCCACATAGTCAAATGCCTTTGCATAGTCAATAAAACACAGATAAATGTCTCTCTGGTATTCTCTGCTTTCAGCCAAGATCCATCTGACATCAGCAAAGACATACCTTGTTCCACGTCCTCTTCTGAATCTGGCTTGAACTTCTGGAAATTCCCTATTGATGTAATGCTGCAACTGCTTTTGAGTGATCGCAAAATTTTATTTGTGTATGATAATGATATTGTTTGATAACTTCCATATTCTGTCGAATCACCTTTCTTTGGAATGGGCACAAATATGGATCTCTTCCAGTTTACCAGGAAGCTGTCTTCCGAATATCTTGACATAGACCAGGGAGCACCTCTAGTGCTGCGTCCATTTCTTGAAACATCTCAATTGGTATTCCGTCAATTCCTGGCACCTTGTTTTTCTCCATTCCGTTCAGCGCAAATTGAACTTCTTCCTTCAGTACCATCAATTTGTGATCATATGCTACCTCCTGAAATGGCTGAACATTGATCACTTCTTTTTGATATAGGGACTGTGTATTTCTTCCATCTTCTTTTGATGCTTCCTGCATTGTCCTATATTTTCCCCCTTAGAATCTTTCAGTCTTGCAACTTGAGACTTGAATTTTCTCTTCACTTCTTTCAGCTTGAGAAATACCGAGTGTGTTCTTCCCTTTTGGTTTTCTAACTTAAAGTTTTTGCACAGTTCATTATAATACTTAATCTTTTTGAGCCGCCCTGTGAAATCTTTAGTTTAGCTCCTTTACTTCATCCTTTCTTGGGTTTGCTTTAGCTACTTGATCTTCAAGAGCAAGTTTCAGAGTCTCTTCTGACATCCATTTTGGTCTTTTCTTTCTTTCCTGCCTTGTTAATGACCTTTTGCTTTCTTTACATGTGATGTCCTTGATGTCATTCCACAACACATCTGGTCTTGGTCGTTGTGTTCAAAGTGTCAAATCTATTCTTGAGATGGTTTCTAAATTCAGGTGGGATATGGCTCTCGTGAACCTGTTCTAATTTTCTTCAGCTTCAACTTGAACTTGGATATGAGCAATTGATGGTCTATTCTACAGTCAGCCCCTGGCCTTGTTCTGACTGATGATATTGAGCTTTTCCACATTTGATTCATATTCCATCTGGCGAGGGCCATGTGTATAGTTACCATTTGTGTTGTTGAAAAAAGATACTTGCAATGAAGAAGTTGGTCTCGCAAAATTCTATCATGCA